TCTACAGATGTATACTGGTATCTGCAGGTGTATACTGGTATCTGCAGGTGTATACATGTGTTTAGAAGTGTTTGCAGGTACATCCTACAGGTGTCTACAGGTTTTGTCAGGTGTTTTGTTGTGACGACAGCAGGTCACAGCTAAAGCTCACTTTTCTGCAGGATCCTGAATTCAGGAGAGTCCTCGATGAGTTTCCCTTCTCTGGACCAGTCCACCTGAGGCGACGGCACCCCTCTCACACGGCACTCCAGCACCACCAGTTGGCCTTCTGCTGCCGTGAGGTCCTGCAGGTTCTGTTGGGACAAGAAGGGCCTTCTGTCAGGTCCGCTGAAGGAGCATCCAAACGTGTTTCGTTTACAGATCGACTCTACCTTTGTGAAAACTGGAGCAGCCATGATGGATTGTCCGTTTGATTCTTGGGAGTTGTTGTGGTTTGAAACTGGATTCTGAGTAGAAAAAAACAAAAATAAACAAAATGGATCCATGTTCTGATCCAGTCCACCACAGTCAGAACTGGAGACATTATCTGTAAAGTGTGAACTTTGAACGCTGAATGATTCAGCTGTTCAAGCCATTAGAAGCAGAACACTAGCTAAAGGCAACAAGCTAAAAGTAGAAAAATCTTAGCTACAAGCTAAACGTAGCAGAAGGATATCCATAATTTGGCATTATCAAAATTTTAGCTGAACGCTCCAATAGTAAAAAATGTAGCAAAAAAATTAAGTAGCTAAAGGTACCAAAAGCTAGCTAAAACTTTGAAGTAGCAATAAGGTGGTTAAAGCTAAAAGTAAATAAGGCTAACTTAAAGTTAAAAAAGGAAGAAGGCTACTTACTGGTACCAGTATGAAAATGCTAGCTTAAAGATAAAGTAGTAAAACATAATTAAAACAAAGTATCAAAAAGCCAGCCTTAGGGTATCAAAATACTAGCTAAAAAGTAAAGTTCAAAAACTTGCCTTAAAGTAGCAAAAGGTTAGCTTAAGTTAAATTAAATACATTAAAGAGGAAAACGACAAAAAGCAAATTTTTTTTTCATTTTTGTGTTTGTTCAAAAAACAACTTTGATTTTAAAAAAAGAAGCTAAAAGTAGCCGATTAAAAACTAAAAACTAAAAGAAGCAAAAAGCTAATTAAAAGCTAAAGTAGTAAAAAATAATAATAATAAAAAAATGGGGTAAAAACTAAAATTAGCCAAAAAGCTGAAGTCTTAAATAAACCGGTTAAATAGCTGATAAAAGTAGATGATCAGTACCTGAAAGTAGCAAACACAGCAGCAGAACAGCTGCTAAAAGCTAAAAGTAGCATAAGAAGACAAAAACAGAGTTAGTAGCAAAAGGTTAGCTTAAGTTAAATTAAATACATTAAAGAGGAAAACGACAAAAAGCGAGATTTTTTTTCTTTTTTGTGTTTGTTCAAAAAACAATAAAAAAAAGCAACTTTGATTTAAAAAGAAGAAGCTAAAAGTAGCCGATATTTATTATTTATAATATTTTAAAAAGTATAACTGTTACAAAATCCAAACGTCACAGCACCTCCTGAATGAGGCGAACGTTTTGATCAATTTACCCGAGAAGAAGAAATTAGATTGCAAATAATAAAAACAGGAAATGATCGCAGGATAAACAGGAGGAAACCTTCAGGGTTACCTGACTGAGACGTCCGGGGGCGGACGGTTCTGACGACACCGCTGAGTTTAAACCCAGAGGTGCAGCGGTCTGCTCCAGCTGTGCTGCTGCAACATCTGGATCAGAAACTCCCCAGATTCCTGCGGGTTCTTCAACAGCTGTCGCCTCCGTCCCTCCTTTCGGCTGGGACGCTTCAGAGACCTCCAGAGCTGGGAGGACGGCCGAAGAAGTCCGAACCACCTGAGAAGCTTCTTCTGGACCTTTTATAGATGAGGGTTCCTCCTCCGGTTCCTTTGAGGGTTCTGCGGGCTGAGACGAGCTGTCCTTTTCTACAGGGTGAGTTGGGTTGGACAGCTGAGGTACAAATGGAGACGACTTCAACGGTTTTCTCTGGAGCCTTAAAAATAAATGACAGACATAAAAGAGAGAACAAGGGTCACCCAGTGGTCATAACTTATCGTTTCGTCATGTCATGTCATGGGGGGGGTTCCTTCATGTTACATAAAACTCACTGGGTTATGTGCTCAAAGTGCTGATCCGCCTCGGAGTCCGAAGAGGAGGCTCCTGTAAGATTAAAACCTGCGTTAGGCACCGAGGACGCGACACCATCTGAGTGTCAACGGGACAACGAAGCACCTTCGACGTAGATCTCAGCCGACGTGGAGTCCGTTCCGTAAACGTTGGACGCAAAGCAGGAGTATCGACCGGTGTCCTCCTCGAACGCTTCGGCGATGACGAGCGAGTGCAGCTCAGCGTTGGTGATGATCTGGATGTCGGGGCTGTCCTCCAGCTCCTTGCCCTCGCAGAACCACCTGCACGTTGATGGAGACAGCCGCGGTGAGGTCACACAGTTCCACCAGATCTAACCTTCACCGGTAAACGTTTTCAGAAGACGAACTTTTCTACACTCTGATTTTCTCGGGTCATATTTTGAACCGTTTCTGGTTAAAACGTTTTGTCACTTTATTGTGTTTGAACACAGGTGCAGCTGGATTATTTATATGTCTGTGATATTTTACTGGATGGGAAAGTTATTTTTTTGTTCCTCAAAATAAAAAAAGCATTTTTTTTATATATTTTGACTTTACATCGGCGATGTCAGAATAAAAAACTACTACTTTAAAATACGTATATCAATCCAGCAGACGTGCACAGGCCCTGACGCCACACCTGATTAGGATAACGGCGATGACAGATTAGAAAGTGGAGAAAATGTGGGTTTAGTTAGTTAGTTATATTTCTCAGGGCTAGTTTTTACTAATATTCTAATATTTCTATAAAGAGCCTCTCTTTGCATATCGTCCAAATTGTAAACTATGGATCTGGTCAGCTGGTCTCTCAACGCAACTGATCAAGTTTTCTCAACAAGAAGACAGGGCGAAGGAGAGCCCTCTTACCTCGACAGAACACTAGCGTTGTCGGTCGAGGACGCTCAAGATCAAAAACTGGATTATGATAACGGGATTTCTGCTTTTTGGGAGTTGGTGGTTACCTGGCTTATCGACAAATTCGAAAACGTCAGCAGCCGTTCTGGCCATTGTTCAGCTGCTGGGCATGGAAGGAACGTGCCGTGTGGTCAACACTCAGACTCAGACGCTGTGCGAGCGAATCTCGCTGGTGGGAAGGAATAGATCTTGGAGAAGTTGGAAGCTCGACTCGCTGTTTGGAGTCGCCATGAGATGCATTAGCGCGATTGTAAAGGCAGACAGAAATTAACAGCGTTCGACTTGTCCCAAAACAAATTATATCTGAATCTGGCTCCTCCCACGCTGGCCTTGGAAGACTGACTATCTCCTGGATGTTATGTGAACAAGACGTTCTGCTGCCCCCGCCCCCCGGCTCCCAAGGACATGGACCTGTGTAAGAGCTCAACCGAGCCGGCTGATAAACACCACCTCTTATCAGGACTATGGCTTTTTTTTTGGGGGGGGGGGGGGGGGTTGTCTCTAGACAGTGCTCACGGACTACTCCCCCTGAAATTCACGCCTTCGCTGGCCTCCCTCATTGTCCTCACCCCCACCCACCCCAGTGCAGTAACCTAGGAGAGCGCCACAAAGCTGGCTGCATCGCTCACCTGGCGGCCTGTGCCGGGACCCCCCCACCCCCCACCCACTCCACCCACGTCTCATGCATGTATGTTACTTCTTTATGTGCTGCGTGTTTTGCAGCCTCACGGTGTGTCCTGCAGGGACACAGAGCTAGATTGATGTTTTTGCCTCCTGTTTTCTAACGTAACAAAAAAGGAGCGCCTCTCAGAGGCTGCCGCCTCAGACACCCCGTCTACCCAAGTCTGTGTCTGTTTGTGGTTCTTTGGATGGGCTGTACTGAAATGTAGTTTTGTTGTGCTCTGTGCAATGACAATAAAACTGATTCTGATTCTGAGATAGGGACAAATTTGTTGGTACCTCTCTATTAAAAATAAAAAAAAAACTCAATAAATACAATTTATGTGACTGAAGCCAAAAACCTCCATTATCTCCTAGAACCTCTGGATCTCCCCCTTCGCAGTGTGAAGTGGGGAGTTGGAAATACCCTCCCATCTGTCCGTCCGTCTTGTGAGCATGATAACTTGAAAAATAAACAAAGCACCGACTTCCCTTTTAGTGTGTGGCTGCATCTACGCATAAAAAAGGTCCCAATCAAAAAATTGCATTACCAAGTAAAAATCCAAGATGGCTACCACCATACATAATGAAATCCTTTCAACCCAGTCATTTGAGGAAACCATGCTTTCTTGTTTTTATGTTGCTTACAAGTATGTACTGATGATATACTGATATTAACGATGGAGTCTTTTGGATGAAAGACGAAACGTTTCAACAGAAAGAAACTGTCCAGAGGACCTGACTGAACTTTGTTGAACTTTTCTACCTGGATTATTGAGCATGATCTTTGATACTTAAAAGTATAGATTCCTCAAATGAATGGGGTGGTCAAATATTAATCTGTGGTGGTCAAGGCCACCATTGGCCACCCCCTGGCTCCTCCATTGCACCTGGTGGTGGATAACACTGCTCCCTCCACTCACCTGGATCTGTCACTCTGCGCTGCCTCATACAAGCAAAAGAAAACCTAACTGTTCTTCTAACCAGTTGAGTTTGGTCTCGTTAGGTTTATCTACCTGGATTATTGAGCGTTCATCTGGACACCTCCACAGTGCAACTCCCACCCATTTGAACATCTTGCACTAAAAACATTTAGGTTTACGTCATTCCTTGTTCAATTCCACGTCAGAAAAACACTCATCTCGAAAAATACAAACATTCAGTCGTAACTGATACGTTAAACGTATCGCTCGTTTAACGTGCGTTTTGGTGAATTCCTGTCTGGATTATCTGTCAACAGTAAATTCTGCTGGAACTTTTTCCATCACCATGGTTCAAAGTGAATGTATGGATGAGAAACTTCTAATTGGACTTGAATGTTTTGGACGGTTTTCTTGGCTCATTTTCTAACACTCGCACTATTTGTTTATCAACCTGGGGTTGCATGTCACCTTGCGTCCACGTCCTGAGAAGCCGGTAAGAGCTTCATGAGCCTGATGCTTTTCAATAATAATGTCAGCTGTGGAGGACCATGAAGCTGCTTGGACACGGTCTTGAAGACTTTATCTTCAACACGGATGTCTATAATCGTCTCGGAGCTCCTCGGACGGCTCTTTGCTTCCTCTGCGCTACATTCAGTGACGAACAGAACCAAACCAAACCATTGGCTGCTTGATCCCTTTAAAAAGTCTGATGGAAAGCTTGAAGGCACCTGAGGTACTATTTAATGTTAAACACCAAGTTTGAGACATGACTATGATACCGAGAAGAATATTCTCTTTAAAGGTACCAACAAGTAGCAAGCAGCCTCTTTACACGATCTATTCTGAGATGATGATGCTTCCTGAAACCAAATCAATCAAGGATGGACGACGTCATCATAGAACCATAAATCTGTCCGTTCACCCAAAAAAATCCATCAGACTTGTGTGAACTTTAAATCATCTGAGCCCCAATAAAACTCAAACCAGTACTCGCCTCCAGCTCGGTCGTTACTGGGGGAACGTTTTGTGGTTCTGCCAGTGACTAAGGGTCTAAATTGAAAGCGTGAGCCGCAGAGGAGGATGGTATGAAGCGAAGCCCCCGCTCGCTGCACCTGTCGGGGCTATTTTCCCTCCGGAGATCCAGAGGAGATTCCCTCAGAGCCCGGGATCTCTGACTCACCTAACCTTTACGCACACAAAACTAAACATGGACTCCGAATACACACGGACTCTTCATTCCCATAAAACTAGCAGTACAGACAACTTTTCTAATTTCCCTTCCTTGAGCGAGAGGCTTCATGTATAGAAACAGCAAAGGAGTCTCACAAAAAGCAGGAGAGTAGAAGTCAAATGTAAAACAACGGTCGGGTGTCAACAGGAGGTGGTGAGGTCAGCAGAACGTCTCAGGAGGAGATGAGATGAGTAAAAACGACGTAAATCATCTTACCAAAGTGCTCACGCTCCTGTCCAGAGCCCAGCCGGCTCCATTATCAAACTGGACTGCAGCTCGCGTTGCCAGTCCGCTTCTAAAAATGGCCCAGAGCTGCATTCTCCACAGACGAGTTTAAGTTAGAGGCTCAACAATGTTCAGAACAAACCCACGCCTCCTGAGGTCCAACACCTCGGCTGCTCTCGTTCATACAGTCGTTTGAAATAAAACACACGGGAGGAAGGCCAAGAAAATCTACGACTTACTGACGTCTTTTTCAAATTTACCACTTCTTCACAAAGATCTTCAACCTTGTGCTGTATCATCCAGAAAATAATCCCTGGATGTAGTTTTCAACTACCGGTAATTTAATCTTAGAGTCAGTTTCAAGATGGCCACCACAGCCTGTATGGCTATTACTCAAACACTTTTCGATATTAAGCTAAAATTTGGTGTGGTAGTAGCTGGAGGTCAACCTCAACACACTGAGCGCTATTCATCACATGTCTTTGCTTATTTACATTACCTGTTAGTCTGTTAGCAAAATATCTCAAAGCACTGAACAAATTCAACATTTTTCAGTCAGGTCATCTGGACAGTTTCTTTTTTTGTGCTGAAACGGTTCGCCTTCGATCCAGAAGGCTTCATCAGTCAAGGAAACACACAACAAAACTGATTCTTCCCCAACAGCTTACTCCAAAGTGGAACAAACCAGTTCTGCTTGTGATAAGGTGGTCTCTTTGGTACGCCCCTCCTCCATTGCCGGCCCTCTTCCTTGTTGACCGTCTTGTCAAACTGGTTGAAAATGGCTTCAGCACAAAAAAAAAGAAACTGTCCAGATGACCTGACTGAAAAATGTTGGATTTTATACCTGGATTATTGAGCATGGACTTTGTTGTTTTCAACCAGTTTGACAAGACTGTCAACAAGGAAGAGGGCCGGCAAAGGAGGAGGGGCGTACCAAAGAGACCATCTTATCACAAGCAGAACTGGTTTGTTCCACTTTGGAGTAAGCTGTTGGGGAAGAATCAGTTTTGTTGTGCGTTTCCTTGACTGATGAAGCCTTCTGGATCGAAGGTGAAACGTTTCAGCACAAAAAAAGAAACTGTCCAGATGACCTGACTGAAAAGTGTTGGATTGTAATCCTGGATTATTGAGCATGGACTTTGTTGTCCACTGGACAAATTATTATGAGAGTTTTTTTGAACATAAACTTTCGATGTACATCTACAACTGATCGATGTCTGGAGTCAACCAAAGACGACCTCCTGAAAACACAAAATTAACAACAACTCAGTGGATTTGACAGATACTGAGGGAAGATTTGTTGTGGTAGTAGCTGAGAGTCATCCCAACACACACTCCAACTATTTTATGTTGCTTAAAACTTTGGTGTGGAGAAAGTAAGAACAGGAACAACTGATTAACCTTTGGAGTGAAGCCGTTTCAAAACGGTCGCCGCATCTTACTGACCACGCCTGCACAAAAGTTACGGTACCTCATTCAGTTTTAAACACACTGAAACAACATTTACTGTGGTAGTAGCTGAGAGTCATTCACACCAGCACTCTGAGTGCGACATCTTGCGATGCTGCGTGAGATTGTGCGCATGTTATTTCGCAGCTTTGACCAAAACGGCAACTCAATGATCTTAGTCTGAAACCCTGGCATGAACGGTGGCGGGCGACATGCATTCCTCCAGGATGCGTGGCCTTTATTTTGTCTTCATGATCTACTCCTCCCCCACCAACACACAAACACACACGACTCAGAATCAGCTGTTGGCTGTCATCACATGTCGCCTCTGTGAGCGTTGCCCAAGAACACAGCATCGTTCGTCCCGACTCGAATCCTTCAAGCGCTCGAGACTCACTCAGTGTCATCCGAGCTCCCAGCAGACGTACAAACGTTGGACTCTTCTTCTGTCTGCTTTTCCCTCTTCAGGGGTCGCCACAGCGAGTCCTCCTCCTCCTTCTCACTCTGTCCTCTGCGTCCTCTGTCCTCACTCCAACTACCATTTCTCAGAGGATGCAGAGGACAGAGATGGAGGAGGAAGCCTCACTGTTCCACCTCCTCCCTCTCGTTCACACATGGACTCTGTCTTACTACGGCTGACTTTCATTCCTCTTCTTTCAACTGCATACCTCCACCTCTCCAAGTTCTCTTCCACCTGTTCCCTGTTCTCACCACAGATCACAATGTCATCTGCAAACATCATAGTCAACGTACATCAACGTATGAACTTTGGACAAACAGCAAAAATAAGTTATTGTTGGTTACTTCAATTAAAACTCCTGCTCTGTTCGAGCTATGAATCTTGTTGCAAAGGAGGTTCCTCTCAGAGGAAGTTTCTGGCCCTACCAACGGTTCACCGGTACAAACATAGTTTGGTGGACCTGCAAAGAGATGGCATCCATCCCACTTTGGACGGAGCCGCTCTTCTTTCTAGAAATATGGCTGATTTCGTTTACCCCCCAAATGATTGACAACCCAGGGTCCAGTCCAGGAAGCAGAGTTGTAGCCCTCCACCCTCTCTGCTGCTTCTCCTCTGTTACCCACCCACACCCACATTGAAACAGTGTCAACTCGCCCACAGCTCAAATTAAATAAACCAAAAATCAGCTCTAAAAATATAAACCATAAAAATCTGATTAAAATAAACACAGTTACTTTACCAGAGCAAAATCATAAAATCATTAAATGTGGATTATTGAACATCAGATCTGTTTCCTCTAAATCCCTGTTAGTTAATGAACTGATAACTGATCATCATATTGATTTATTGTGTCTGACAGAAACTTGGCTACAACAGGAGGATTTTGTTGGTATAAATGAATCCACTGCTGTTCATTATTTGAATTTTCATGATCCTAGAACAACTGGCCGAGGTGGAGGAGTAGCTTCTATTTTTCAGTCTGGACTATTGATTAAACCAATAATTCTTTTGAGTCGTTGTCCCTCAGTCTTTCTCATCCAAAAGGGAAATAGAAAAGTCCACTCTCACTAGTTGTTATATATCGTCCACCAGGCTCCTATGCTCAGTTTTTGTCTGAATTCTCAGAATTCTTAACTGACTTACTACTAAGTACTGATAAAGTCATAATAATGGGTGATTTCAATATTCATGTAGATGTTGAAAGTGGTAACTTAAGCAAAGCCTTTAATAATTTAATACAGTCAAGTGGTTTTACCCAAAATGTCCGCACATCTACTTATTCTCATCACCACACTCTTGACCTGGTTCTGACTTATAGCATCAAGATTAATAACTTAGTAATAGTTCCTCAAAATCCTGTTCTGGCTGACCATTTTTAATCATCTTTGAGTTTACATCAAATGACTACACAGTCACAGAGAGTAAATTTCATTATAGTAGGTGCTCCACAGAACACCACAGGAAATCCTTCTTCCCTTTAGCTATCAAACTTTTCAACTCCTCCCCTTTTCTACACATAGGACAATAAAATTAATCCTGCACCACAATAAAAAAATTTATGTTTCTTTCTGTCTGCACCTGACCTGTTTTAGAACTTAATTGCTGGTATTTTTATATTCTCGGTTATTTTTTATATTATGTTTTTTTTATATCTCGTGTGATTCCTTGTGTATGTTCCTTTGTACTGAAACTCTGGAATAACAATTTCCAGCAGGATCAATGAAGTTCTATCTTACCTTATCTTATCAGAAAATGCTGTAACCAAATTTCAACAATCTCTTCCATCAATGTTTTATTTTGTCTTGCAGAATAATGCATCAGAGAGCAGTGACTTTGATCATCTGGTTGATACATTTACAACATCTTTGCAAACTTCAATCGACATACCTGCTCCACTGAAAAAGAAAGTAATCAATCAGAGGAAACTGGCTCCTTGGTTAAATTCTGAGTTATGTACATTAAAACAGGCATCTAGAAAGATGGAAAGAAAACGGTGCTCCACTAACATGGAAGAATTTATTTAACTTGGAGAGATAGCCTGCTAACATATAAGAAAGCGCTCTGTAAAGCTAGAACTTTATATTACTCATCTTTAATAGATGAGAATAAAAATAACCCCAGGTTTCTGTTCAGTACCATAGCTAGTCTAATGAAAAATCCCATCACTGTTGAACCATGTATCCCTACAACTAGAAGCAGGGATGACTTGATGAGATTCTTTATAAATAAAAACATTTTAATTTGGAAGAAAATTTAAACCATCCTTCCTACTATTGCCTTCAATTCCCTGTCAGATGAGACAGCTTTAAAAATGTCACTTGAAGCTGATTTATGTTTGGGCTGTTTTTGTCCTGTTGAGCTCTCTGAATTGTCAAAAATAATAGTTTCATCCAAACTATAAACGTGTCTGCTAGATGCCATCCCAACCAGACTATTTAAAGAGGTATTTCCCCTAACTGATATCCACATTTTGGATCTGCTTAATTTGTCTTTACTGAATGGTTATATACCACAGTGCTTTAAGGTTGCTGTAATTAAACCTTTACTTAAGAAACCTGATTTTGATTCAGGAATTCTGGCCAATTAAAGACCTATATCTAATTAAAGTGCAATTTCTTCTCTTACCGGACTTCCGGCACCGGATGTCCTCTAACGATACAGTCTAGCCGGACCTTGGTGCCTTCAGGAACCTCCCTGCTCTTCAGTTTCTGGATGAAATGTGGAGGCTCGCATGCAAGTTCTGCTTGATGTGGACTTTCAGCCTGGTCTCCTACGTCCTGTGACACCAAGTCAAACCGCTCCTCTTTTGTCAGTCCATAGTCCTGAAAGTCCATGAGCTCACTTCCCACGTCCTGCTGGACCACCGGGTGGTGGCTGACGACTAGGTTGGGTCTCTCCATTTCCAATGGCAGGATGGCTCGCTCCCTGCTGTCAGAGCTGAGGGGATCAGTGGTCTCCTCGCTCTGGTTCTTGTTCTGAACCCTGCTCCTGTGGGCTTTGCAGGCTCTTGGTCGTACCCGTTTGGAGCTATTAGCCTTAAAGAGGGAGGAGAGCTCCTCGATGAAATCTGCTGCCTTGTTCAGGAACTCCTTTTTGGACTGGGTCTCCAGACCAAAGGGGGCACTTTTTGCTGGACTGTTCCGATGGTTGAATCCCTCTGTGGAGTCTCTGCTGTTCTGGATCATGTTATTCTCCTGTAAGGATGGTTTGTGCATCTTTCTGTTGGAGGTGAACGCTGAAAAGACTACTGGTACCTCAGAAGATGGCTGGTTGATCGAGGGGGGAACAACAGGAACAGAATGGTTGGAGAACCACTCTCCGGAAACCGAGGGTGAGATGTTGGAGGGTACTGAGGTCACAGAGGCCTTGGCCTCTGCCCTCTCCTCACTGGGTTCATGCCCGATGGCCTGGCGGGCCAGATTAACGCTTTTATCAAGCTCCTCTTGGCTGAGGAAGGCTGACAGGTCTGGGAGTGGGGTATCATGATGGCCCAGGGCGTCATCACCCTTACCTTTAAGAGTCCCATAGATCTGAAGGCGTGAGGAGGATGCATCTGAACGACTCATCTCACCGAGGCGTTGATGAACTCAGGTCTCTGCCAGGTCGGTCAACTTAAGGCTAAGACAGAGGAGGGAATCTAATTAGTACAGCGTGTAGCTAAAATACACACAAAGCACATATACATGTATGCAAGTGTCCAAACTCAACTGTCTCAGGCTTATTTCAATCCTCACAAGCAAAGTTTGAATTACAACGAAGAAAGAGTGGGTTTAACCTCCATTTTGGTCTAGTTTTTACGTACCGTATCAACCGCTATATTTTGTATATTTAAGCCTGTTTGTTGTACGTCTGTTAAGAAAATATCTCATGAACCAATGGACGAATTGTAAAGAAACTCTTAATTGAAAGAATGAAAGTCTGACAGGAAAGACAGCTAGTCCCAACACAGCTGAGGTCAAAGTGGATCACTGCCGTCTTCAAACAAACCCAAGTGCTTCATGGAAACACCATTTCATAAACCTTTACTCCACCCTGAGTTTTGCAATGCACGGTTATTTACACAAACTTCCATGGTTATTAGCAAGCAGCAGCTAGCTGTAGCATTCATACAGGATGAATCCGGCAGGAAGTTAAAATGTTTAATGGAATAACTATAATGTGACTGCAGTGTAAATGTTTAAAATAGAAAAATCAGTTTATAAATTAATTTTGAAGATGAAAAAGATGGTAAAATCAGTTCTAGTTGTGACTCATTTTGAACCAAATCTACAATAACTAGCTAGCATCTGTTTTGCTAATATTAACTTTTTATTATATTTATAGATTTTAGCTTTAGCATCTGTTTTGTTGCATTTACCTACAGTTTTGTTAATCTTAGCATGTGTTTTGCAAGTTATGGCTATCGTTTTATAAATTTTAGTTACCAGTAAGTGTCTGTTTAGCTAATTTTAGCACCCGTTTTGTTGCCTTTAGCTACTATTTTGCTAATTGAAGCTAATATTTAGCAATTTTTAGGTTATTAAACATTTGCTTATCTACATTCATTTACAGTTTAGCTAATTTTAGGACCCATTTAACTTTTGTCTGTTGTTTTGCTAGTTTCAGCTACTGTTTTGCAAGTTTTAATTTTAGCCGTTTTGTTGAATGCTTTGAGATACAATTGCTAATTCTAGCATCTTATTTGCTAGTTTAAGGGTTGGCTACCTTCAGCAAAAGTTTTGCTCAATTTTTTAACTGTTTGATACAAAAGCTAAAGCTCTGCTGATTTTAGCTCGTTTTATTGCTTTAGCTTGCATTATGCAGCATCTATTTTGCTTTTTTTAATCTTATGTTCAGCTGGTGTTAGCTAATGCTTTGCTGTTTTAGCTTGCATTTGGCTCATTTTGCTGGTTTTAGCTTGTGTTTAGCTGCTTTTATCTAGAGTTCTTCTCATTTTAGCTTGTTTCCTGCTTATTTCAGCCACTGTTTTGCTCAGTATAACTTTATCAACTGCGTTTAAGCTTCTCAAGCAAATTGCAGCAATATCATTCGGCACACTATAATAATTTAGTTCTTAACTTTTATGCAGAAAGGTTGAAGGTTGAATGAAAAAAAGGCTGAAATACCCCTTTAATAAAGTGACCTCAAGGTGTAAAAAACAAAAACAAACTAAAAAATAAAACTTCTTTTTTTCAATTTGCTTTAAACAGCCGACCGGAGATAAATAGAATTAAAACAACCGGTTTTGGTTTATGCTGCAACAATTCCTGGTAAACAGGAACATTTAGTTTGAGCATGAACGCATCCTTTCTCGGGCCTCGGCGGGGTTCGTGTCCTGACACCAGATCAGATTTGTGCGCAGGTTCGAGTCCACCCTGGTCTACCTCAGAGCAGGACTCGTGTGACGTCCACACGTTTCGTTTCTCCTCATTTTCACGGCGAGCACGAGCAGGTTAGACGTGAAACGGAGTGCGCATGTGCTGCGGACACTCGAGTCGGTGCGTTCAGGGGACGTGGCGATGCCCTTCCAACAGACCTGGACCTGCAGCTGTTGTGCACATTAATACTTTGCAAACAGGTTCCTCGCTCGCCGCGTCACGTCTATTAATAGCTGGGGATCAGTTTACAAGAAGAGAATCAACACACACACACACACACACCAACACACACACACACCAACACACACACACACCTCCTCCTCCTCCTGTGGGCCTGATTTCCTGAGTTTGATCAGACATTAACTCAGACCTGTTTTTATCACAAAGAGGACGCTGCTGAGGGAGATAACCCCCACCCCCTCAAACACACACACACACACACACACACACACACACTAAGATAATCTAGATTCACTGAACACGTCAAACTAAAATGGAGGCAACACTCAGAACTTCAGGCCTGAAGGAACCAACCTGGAGAATGTGAGGACCTGAATTGGGGGGTCCAGTTTTACCTTCAGAATAAACCCAGCAGGCCCCCCTAAGGATCCAACCGCCCCTGTGCTGACTTGGGGAGATTCCAGTCCCCCGGTTGCTCGCTCCTGGTCAGATCCTGGACCCGGCAGGTGCTCGGGCCTCCTGGTTCTCCGGTGGTCTGCAGGAAACGTGTGGCGCTGCGGCGACCTGAAAGCAGCAACATTTGTCAGCACAGCGGGTCCAGGTTATTTTGAGGAGGCCCGACCCGAGTGTCTGGGTGGCGTCCCTCCTCATTGGCTGGGGGGGGGGGGGGGGGGGTTTGTGCTGTAAAGGGATCCCATCATCCAGCGGACTGTCAAACGCCTCCGTCCACAGAGACGTCCCTTGTTGGACGGGATGGACGCTGCAGGTCATCAGGAATATTCAGTGTCGTCCCATGAACCTGTAATCTGAGATTAAAACATATTTTTATTTGGAGGGCATAAAAATCATCATCTGAAAAGATGACTTTCTTCACCCACTTCCTCAGAACCTGGGGGGGGGGTCGGGTCTCCAAGCAGAACCAGAGTCCGGATTGGGTCCAGATGATTGACAGGTTCTTACTACATTCAGTTCAACAGTAGCTAAAGGCTAAAAAGAAGAAAGCAGTAGCTAAACGCCAAACTTTAAACCATAGTTAAAGGCTGAAATGAGCAAAACCTTAGCTAAAAGCTAAAATTAACAAAACCATAACATAAAATTAAAGCGGTAGCTAAAAGACAAAATTTCAACTGGTTAACTACAAAAAAATAAATAAAATAAAATAAAAAAGCAACTAAACTGTTGATAAAAACCCAGACTAGTTATTCTGTTGAAAAAAGTTAAAATTAGCAACAAACAAAAAAGCTAAAGGCTTAAATTAACAACAAACAAAAAAGATAAAGGTTAAAATTAGCAACAAACAAAAAAGATAAAGGCTTAAATTAGTAAATAAAAAAGCTAAAGCCTTAAATTAGCAACAAACAAAAAAGCTAAAGGTTAAAATTAGCAAAAAACAAAAGCTAAAGGCTAAAATTAGCAACAAACAAAAAAAAAAGCTAGGCTTAATTTAGTAACAAACAAAAAGGCTAAAGGCTAAAATTAGCAAAACTGTCGCTAAAACTAACAAGCGCTAGAACTTTGAATTAGCAAAACTGCAGAAAAAGACAAAGCAGAAAATGAAAATTAAACCACAATTAAAAGCTAAATTAATCTTTAGATTAACGCTAAAGTGAGTTAAACCACTGCTAAAGGCTAATTTATTAACTCGTAGGCAAGAGTTAAAATCAGTTTAACTGTAGCTAAAACTATAGAAGCTAAAATTTGCTAAATCTTAGCTAAAGGCTAAAATTAATAAAACAATAAGCTAAAATGATAAAATTAACAAAGCAGGGATTAAAAGTTAAAAAGTCAAAATTAAAACTGTACCATTGTTAGCTAAAAAAAATAACAACATTGTTGATAAAAGCTAAAATTAGCAACACAATAGCAAAAAGCAAATGTAGCAAAAGTTGCCTAGAGCTAATGGTAGCTAAATCGAACCATAAAGTTCAATTTAGCAAACACACAGCTGAAAGCTACAATTAATAAAATAGCAGCCGATAGCTACATTTAGCAAGACAGTGGCTTAATGCTAAAATCTTGAGTAAGAAGTTAAAAAAAGAGCTAAAGATTTCAAAAGAAGTTTTAAAGGAAGTAAAAAGATGCATTTCTATGAAAAATGTTTGTAAATAAAGTTACATAATTTATAAAGTCCAACGAGGAGCGCCTTCAGTTTCTGCTCCACCAGAGCACACAAACACAAACATTTACTCTGATTCACGTTGTCCATGTAGCACCGCCGTGTCCTCCAGCTGTCACTGGGCGAAAGGCGGGGGACACCCTGGACATGTCCTCAGTCCATCACAGAGACAAACGGGACACACTACATCTACACTTAGTGATAATTTAACTCCTATCTTGATTTTCCTCTGTAAACTTCAATAAATCTCGAGTTGAACCTGAAAGTTTAAACTTTATTATTGAAGACATTTAGTCTCTAATCTCCCTGAAGGAAATCCGTTAAGTTTAATCTGAATTAAAGACATTCTAGGAGCATTTTATACCAACTAATCTGGATTAAGGTCAGTTTTGAAATGTCTGGAGCAGCTCCCTCTAGTGTTGAAATTTTGCATCGACTCTTTGTTTCATGGACAAAACGTTTCAAAGACCCAACAGAGATGGTGTCAAATATTTAATCAGTCGTTTAAGAAATATGCACCTACAGTAAAAGTTCGAGTGCACGACGGCAGCGCAGGGTCCAAAACTATTTACAGTATCAACAGGCTGTACATGTTAGAAACGCTGAACGCACCACAGACCGATGTTTGCAAATCATCTCGCAGTAAATTCACAAAATTCATTTAATACAAAGAGGTAAGACAACTTCAAATGTTACGTTTGGCAAAAATATCTGGCACTTTTCTGGCAATCTGCCACTTTTACATGAAAATCTATGGTTGCAATACATAAAACAGCCCGGTAAGTACTTGGTATTCACATGTTAATTACTGAGTAAGTATCTGGTTATTACCTGGTACGTACACTGTAATGCCGAGTAAGAACCTGGTACTTACATGGTAAACACAAAGTACCTGGTACTTCCACAAAACATGATGGTACATACAAGGTAATTACTGAGCAAGTACTTTTTACATACCTGTTACCAAGTAATCAGAGTATATACCTGGTACCTAATGTGTACTTGAAGTGCTTGGTCCAAGACATTCCTGGTACTTACAAGGTACTTAGTATGTACTTGTACTTACAAAGTATTTAACAAGTATGTACTGACACTTGCAAGGTTATGACCTTGTATGAACCTGGTAATTTCAAGGTACTTGTAGGGTATGTACTTGATAATTACAAAGTAATTATTGGGTACGTACCTAAAACTTACAAGGTAAACATCGAGTGTGTAGCTGATAGTTACAAGGTATTCAGAGTACATATCTGGGCCTTCCTTTATTCACTTCTGGTACTTATTAATTACCAGATACATACTTAGTATTGGCTGGATATGTACTTAACAAGTTAGTACTTAACAAGTTTGTATCTAATACTTAATAATTAATATTTATTATCAGGTGCATACCTGGTACTAACATGGTAAATACACAGTACATAACTAGTATTTATGAGTTAAACACCAAGTACAAATCTGGTACTTGCAAGGTAATTATCAGATAAGTACCTGGTACTTACAGGGGAATTATTGAATATGTTGTATGTACTAGGTAAATATCTGGTATTTACAAAGTAATTACCAGGTATACACCAGTTTCCTATAGGTTATGTATCAAGGTACATATCCAGTAGATAACCTCAATTATCAGGTAATGTACCTGGTTGGAGGTACTTTTCAGTTACATACCAAGTCTTTACACAGCACTTACCAGGAACATAGACGGTACACATTAAGTACATATCTACTACGTATCCGATCCTTACTCAGTATGAATCAGGTACTTATCAGTCAGGATGTGTACTACTGCCAAATTTACAGGAGGAATAAAGGCTTTAAATCTGAAGGCAGACGCTTCGTCAGCTGTAACCAACGACCAGCTGCCGTTACAGAAACGGCTCAGTGACGGGAGAAAACATCAACAGGAAGTAAACTCCTCTTCTTCTTTGTCCTCTTTGGCGTAACAGGAAGATACAATCGAGTTTTCCATCTTGGTAAAGGCAAGAGAAGAATCACAGCAGAAAACAACGCCTCCTCTCCACGCACGGACCAGAACCTTCTGGGTGACACCAAAACCAAAAAGTTTTCGTGGAACTGTAGTGTTAGCAGCAACGGAGCGTCTCGATTAGCCCCATTAAACACAAGGACGCACCGAGGGAGGAACCGGCGAGTGGAGAAACTTAGCCTCTGCTCAACGCTTTATCTCCTCGTTATTCACAGTGTTTTGTCGTTTTGGGTAAAGGGAGAGGAAAACACAGCTTTTTCTTTGTACCGGGTGCAGCGAGACAGGTTGTGACGGAGAAGAGGCATCGTCAGAGCTCAGCAGCTATCAGGAATCTTCACTGGCACGTTTGCGAGACTGATCACCCCTGGAGAAAACAAACAAACAAAGACGTTAAAGATGTGTGTGGTTAAAATCCACTTACTGGTTCGTGAGATATTAACCTAACACAGGCAGAGATGTTACCAGCAGGTGAATTGATTAAAAACATTTATACTGACCGAGGAAAGCCGTTCATGAAGAGCTCCATTTGAAGCTTCCGGTCGTAATCGGCGTAATCCGGCAGCCGAGACTCCACGGCAGGAGGGTGGATTTGTGGAATGAAGCCAGAGAAGAGCGCCGGGGCGAGCTGAGCCCACTCTGAAACACGTACGAAGGCGAATCAGAAGGACGGGAAATGAAATTATTTCTAAAAACAAGTTAGAGGAAAGAAAGGTGACAACAGAAAATAAAAAGTCACCTGGCCGGAGGCTGTAGAGACCTTTCACCACACTGGCCATCGTCGACGGCTGCACTAGGAAAGGCATCGAATGAGCTTTGATCAAAAGAGCTGAGGAGGAAAATAACATCGAAAATCATTTCTATATTTTACACAGGATGATGATGACACCGACTGAAACAGCTCCCAGATAGAGAGGTAACAAGAGTACCACGTACGGCACGTGATACGCCCGTCTACAAACTATTACACATCAATCTATAGCAGGCAAACACCTTGTATAACTCTGACCTCGACCTTAGAGCTGAGGTGATGAAAAGTGTATGAGACATTTTGTCTAGTGGTGGTACAAATGTGTCTGGAGTTTCAGTAAAATATCTTGAGCGTATCAGAAGTTACGAACGGGACAACAGAAAGTTTACGGACACGCAGAGACACATGGCGGAGACGCAACGGTTACAGAATCGGATGAAACTGATAACAGACTGGAACAAAGCAGGTTTCTAGTCAGTATGGTGTGGGCCGGAAGTGGCCCACAGGCCGACAGTTGAATAGCCCTGATCTAGACTTCGGCCTGGAACCCAGAAGTTGAAGCTGGAATGGGCTCAGCTTCCCCTGCAGGCTAGTTACGGTACCGTAAACAGGTCCTGCTGGGTTCAGCTCCGAACGACGACAGAAGCCGAGAAACTCCTTCTGTAACATGCACGGTCTACAGTCCACAAAAAGACCTCTTGTTATGGTAAGACAGTACCAGGGCATCATTGGCATAGTGCTGTGGGTTCAGGGTTCCTTGAATCTCTACCAAAAGTGACCTGAAGTCAGACCTTATGGCTCCCCACACCATGATTGAGTACCACTGGTGCTCTCTTGACAATGTTGGCAGGAATGGTATTTTCCTCTTTGCACCACAGTAGTGATCCGTGGAAATGGATTCAACCCGAAACATGAGAGGACACCTGTTGTTAAAGATCCAGCTGCCTCGGACATGGCACCAGTGGTTCAGCCACTGAGCCAGGCTGCAGGATGATAAAGGCTGTTAAAAAGAGTCCAATCTGTGTCCAAAATGTAGAAGCAGATTCTCCTTGGGCAACCAGAACCTTCCAGGCCCGTGTGAATGAGCTTACAAACCCATTGGTTCCAGAATCAAGCATCAATGTGCCCCACGTGCAGGGTCTCCATGATATGACCCAGTCTCCTGCAAACCAACAACGTGACCCTTAGGTCGCTGGCTTGTATCCGGCTCGAAGGACCAAAATGTTGAATAAAAATATCCTCTGTTCATTTTACTTAATCAAATAAGCCACACTCAATGGCAGGAGACAACTTTTAACTGGTTTTACTTGCAAGGACAGAATTTCACCACAGGTTACACAGATGTATAGAAGTTCTACATACGTACATGGAGCCCAGTCACGAGAATCTGCCTCGGGCAGTGTGCGAGGCTTGTTTTTATAAGCTTATCAGCTCCTAGTTCACGGGCAGACCGGTGTCCTTGGACTGTCAGCTGCACATGCAGTGTCAAATCAGCTCATTATTCAGCTCTCTCTGAGAGAGAAAACAACTCTCTGCTAACTCAAACACATGGTTCATGGGCCAATAACATTTTCAGCCATAGAGTTAAAAACATCCATCAACCTTGAACAAAATTCCCTGACACTAACAATCTAAATCAAATGTTTCTATCAGGTCTAATGGTACCTGATGACCTTTACACGCTGTTTAAAACGACTGTCATTACTCAGGCAACTACCTGATAACAGTGTCAATCCACTCGTACTCAATAGTGCCCGTTACCGATTACTGGTCTGCATGTGGACTAACACGAGTCCAAACTGGACCATTCCTTTTGGATGGTTAACTTTGTTGTGAGTGTATTAAAGGTGGCACGTCATTTATTTGTTCTTCACATTAAAACAATTCAAACATTAGACATTTCACACATGTCTGTACCTGACCTGTTTAGATCTCAATTGCTGGTATATTTAATATTCTCTGTTATTTTTATATCTTGTGTGATTCCTTGTGTATGTTCCTTTGTACTGAAACTCTGGCACAACAACTTCCTGCGGGATCAATAAAGTTCCATCTTATCTGATTTTTTTTACTCAGCAGAGGTTCGAGGATAAAAACTCACGCATCAGCGTGTTCAAATGTTTCTCTGCCACCAGGTCAGCAAACAGCTTCATCAGGTCGTCTTTTAAGTCCCTGTTGAGTTTGGACTCGATGTAGAACTTGTTCTGAAAGGTAACACAGGGTCAGTTGCCTTGAATGAAATAAATTAAAAACATTATTTTAGAAAACATCTTACGTACCAGGTATATAAACACGGGAACTATACATTCAAGAGAAGTTGTGTATCGTGTTAGAGTCACGTTGAAGTTCTCGATTAGGTTCTCGGGTGAGCTGGCCTACAGATAAATGATCAAAGCATTTTTTATTGACGGTATTTATTAAAACACTCACCTGCAGTTGAGTTCTCTCACCTGTAGCTGTGTGGAAACCTGCTGCAGGTGACTCGTTATTTTGGATGTCAGGTCACTGTAGAGCAGCTCAGAGTGCTGCTGACAAACACACTTGTAGATGTAACTAGGAAAAACCACGAAGAACATTTTACTTGACCTTACGGGTACATTTAGTAGGTTGTTCCTACTCTGGGTCCTTCTATACTCGCTAGTGGAACAGCAGTTTATCCTCAGGTGTGGTGCCAAAAACATGCTGCTGTCCAGCCACGGTGCGATTTGGAACAAGATACAAGAAAAAATAAACATGTGGAATTTCATGGATTGTTTGAATGTAAGGTGCAGAGATGTTTAAGCAGAAAAAAGTATTTACCAAAATAATACACACCTAATAACTAAAAAGTTGGGACATAGTTTAAAAAGTAAACAAAAAAAAAAAAAAAAGATTTGCAAACCCATATTTTATTCACTGTGGAACATGGTAAACGTATCAAATGTTTAAACTAAATTTTTTTTTACCAACACACACACAAAGCAGTTTTGAATTTGATGGCAGTGACGTATCAAAAACATTCCACGAGCAGCACAAAGCTGTAAAAGTGGTCCGATAAGAAACAGCTGGCAGAACATTTAGTAATTAAAGAGGTTAATTGGCAACAGGTCAATCAGAAGACCGAGTATAAAAAGAGGCTGAATCTGTCAGAAGTAAAGACGGGCAGAGGTTCAGCAGTCTGTCTAAAACTAATGGAAGAATTTCAGAATAAAGTTCCCGGATAAAGACTTTAATCTCCATCATCTCCAGTTCATCTCAGATTAGAAGAATCTGTGGAAATCTGAGCTCAAAGGACGAGACTGAAGGTCAATATTTGATGGTCGTGATCTTCAGGCCCTCAGGACCCGCATTAAAACCAGGTCTGGTTCTGTTCTGGGCTTAGGAACTCTTCCACAGATCGTCGTCTGTGAACACAGTTCATCCACAGATGCTGCTTAAAGCTCTATCAGACAAAGAAGAAGCCAGATGTGAACACCATCCAGAACTTTTGCCGTCTTCTCTGGACCAGAGCTCATTTCAAATGGACTGAGGTGAAGTCCAGAACTGTTCTGTGGTCAGTCAGATCCAAACCTGAAGTTCTGTCTGGAAACCACTGACACCACGTCCTCCATGCTAATGAGGGGGGACCATCCAGCCTGTTAGCACACAGTTCAAAAACCTGCCTCTCTGATGGTATGGGGGTGCATTAGAGCTTCTGGCATGGGCAGCTTACACATCTGCCTGTCTGTACTGCCCTCTTGTGCTCTGTTTGATCATGAGCTTCAGCTTCAGAGAAAAACGTAATTTTTTATATTTGCAAATCCATGAAGCTCCTCCAGCATGTCTACTCACAAAAAGATAAGAAAACAGAATGCCCCGGCACAGGTGCGTGTTCATTCTGCATCCTGTTTCACCTGTCTTACCCATAAATCTGTGCGTAGGACACGGACGTGTGATCCGAGGGGTTCTGAATCAGCAGACGGTCGATCGCTTCCTCCAGGTTGGGCCAGTGGTTTTTCCTGTAGTCCTCCACCGCCATGGCGTTCAGGACTGTCAGGAAAGAAGGAAATCAAGGTGCATGTCCTGCCACATAACTGCGCATGCGCACTGAGAGGCTGCACGCATCGATGTAAAGATGCTGCAGAAGTTCTGGGTCAGAAAGTCTGGACCCAGTTCTGGTCGTACACTAAATCCCCGGTACTGGGACACCAGGCCCAGTTTGTAAACTTACGGAACTTTGAGGTGGAACCGGGACTGAATTTTCCCTCCGTGTTGTTAGCTGGCGCCGTCAAATCCGCCTCACCGACTTCGCTGCTTTCGCTGCCCGTGTCCGAGTCCATGAAGTTCGACCCAACGGAACCGCCGGAGCACAGTTTGCCCTGCCGAGACCCGGGTTCCCCTCCAGAGACCGTCGTTGGAGAGACGAGCGGCGGGACTGTCGTTACCGACAGCTGGACTTCACTGCCGCCGCTCCCACAGTAGTTGTGGTTGTGGTCGTCTTTAACGTCCACCGCGTCGTCCTCCATCATGGCCTCCATCTTTAAAACTGGACTTTAAAAAGGCTCCAGTCCGAACCTTAACCGAACCGGTCGAACATTTCAGATAAACGAGAGGAAACGCAAAATAAAAACTGTCATCCGTCTTCGGCCGCGTACATCGTCACTTTACGGCGTCGAGCAGGATTTCACGACACGTCGTAAAAGGGAGCGGCCAAGAGGACGCTGGGAAATGTAGTTCTGCGACGCCTCGGGCAAAAACGCTCAAACCCGTTACCAAAATATTTCATGAACCAAAGGACGGTTTTTAATGAAACGTTCAGGAAATAATCGTTGGCTGTACAAATCACAGCCGGTTAACTTTAGGAGCTTCTTCTTTTTACTTTTCAAATGAATCATTTGAAGCGGCCACATTAAAAACATGAACCACCTGCGTAATATCACTAAACTTAGAAACATCTAAAAATGATGCAGAAAAACTGGTTCATGCATTTGTCACGTCTAGACTGGACTATTTATTATCTGGGTGTCCAAATACTTCTTTAAAACGTCTTCAGTTGGTCCAAAATGCTGAAGCCAGAGTCTTAACTGGAGTTACTGGGAGAGATCATATCTCTCCAGTTTTAGCTTCTCTCCATTCCTGTCAAATTTACAGTATAATTCAAAATTTTACTTATAACCTACAAAGCCCTCAACAATAGTTCAGATCGAATATTTTACTAACAGAGCACTTCACTCTCACACTGCAGGTTTACTCGTGGCTCCTAGAGTTTCCAAAAGCAGAATGGGAGGAAGATCTTCCAGTTCTCAGGCTCCTCTCTTGTGGAACCAACTTCCAGTTTCTGTCCGTGAGGCCGACACGTTGTCCAGTTTGAAGACTTTCCTTTTTGATAAATCTTGTGCTGCTATAGACTTGGTCAAATTGACCTAATTTCATTAAATTAATTGTTACAATTGAACCGTTTTCATTTGATTCTATCTCAACATGTGATTCTTGACCTGCCATTGTGTATCTATTCCTCTCAAACCCAGCCGGTCGAAGCAGATGGTCCTCTTGTCCTGATCCTGCTAAAGGTTTCTTCCTCGTGAGGGAGTTTTTCTTTCCACTGTCGCCTTCATGCTTGTTCAAAATGAGAGTTCAAACTCAAAGCTGCTCCTCAGATAAATAAAGTTAAATTATTATTTTATACACGTTTCTGTTCAGTTCTGTGACTTGGAGCTTTAGAAATAAACGGAGTTGAAATTGAGCCAGTTCAATCAAAAATGGCCACCACAGACAAGTGACTTAAATTGAGTCAACTTTAGATAAGAGATAAAATTTGGATTATAGTTGTGTGCAAGACATACCACAAGTGTTATTGCTCAGAAGTTCGTTGTTGTTGAGAGTTAACCTCGATTTCCTGTTAGCAAAATATACCAAGAACCACTGGTCAGATCTTAATGGAACTCCCAGGAAATGTTCACTGGGACGTTCGTCTACATTCGATTAACTTTCAGAGTCTAAATATTTCATGCTGCTGCCACAGCTAGGCCACCTTAGCAAACAACAATGCTCAACAACGTTGAGCGAAAACTAAAAGTAATCCCTAATACTCTTAAAACTTAACCGAGAAATCGAACTACGTCCTAGTAGGTGATGCAACTTTAAATCTTTGAAAGCTTTAGCTAATAAAATCTATTTACTTCTCATGTTGGTATGTTTAAAACATGTCTATATTTTTACTCAGAACCTTAGAAGGACAGAAGAAACCAACTGTAATGAATAAAAATAATCTTTTAAAGTTTAACAAACCATCACTTTGCAAACAGCACGTGAATGAAACCGAGTAGACGAGTCTACAACACATACATGTCATTATTGACATTTTACAGGCGTCTTTACAGTTCGTCGTTTAAGAAATGTGACTCGGGCAACAAAACCAGTCGTGTATGGAGAAGAAGAAGAAAGTGCCGTATCGATGTAAATACGTTCCAACACAACCACTCCCCCCATATAACCCTCTGGTGTGAACTTTGTACAGATTAAAATCCACCACTACTCTTTGATGAGCACGTGTTGCGTCCAAATACAAAAATAAGAGGCTTCGCCGTAAAAGTAGCTGCCGCGTGTCAAAGAGGAACACCTCGTCAAAGTTCGTTCAGTCCCCAACGGTTTGGAGAACGACAAAACTCAGAACGGACGTGTGTCAAGTGTTCTTTGGTCTAAAATGAAAAGCGTACAGTTCCTCTTTCCATCGTTTCCTTAAAAAAAGGCCGAACTGAACTAGATTTGCCTGCCAGACAACTGAAGGGCGTCTGAAACGTTCAGGATCCGTTATCGATCAGGCAGCAGGCGCTCGTCACGATTCCTAAACGCAACTTGAACCACAAACGCGCCAAGACCCCACGACGAGTGAAATTAGCTTCTGCTAACCCGTCGCTAGTAAAGCTGCATTTAATGTTGCACGTGTGGTACGCAACAGTGAAGGAGATCAAAATAAAGACATTTTAAATTAAAAACACTGCGTCCTATAGGAGGCCGTTTCTCAGTGGGATGCGACGGTTTGCGACCACATTCGTTGGGTTTACGCAACGTTTCCAGGGGTTCCGTTTCCTCCCGGGGGCTTGCAGTCGTGTCGCTAAAACGCCGCCTTTCCAAGAGGACTTTTTCCTCGTAAAGATCATTTCTGGAAGTTTTCATCCACACAGAAACGCAGAAAACGACCCAAGCGCTTGCTTCAGTACCTCTGCCGGACCCGTGTGTGGCGCCGTAACGTTTCCACTACAGTCCGGACGCCTCAAACGGTAAACAGAACAAGAACGCGAAGAAGGGGAACTTCTACAGGCTCAGTATCCGGAGCAGACATGTGGCCCGAGGACCATCTCCATTCGGCCCTCAAAATTCATGATTGCAAAGAAAACAACATTTTACAAAGTTGATAGAAAATTTGTGCATTTTATCAATGAAATTTAAGGAAGTCGTTAAAGGGAAACGCGTTTCCAGAACCAGACTTAACCTTAAAGACTCCAAAAAGCAAACATCTTTTTCTTTTATGCACATGTTTAAGCTATGCTCGTCACAAGAGCCAGTTGACAGAAAGTGTCTTGTATTCCTAATCCAGCACGCTACGTATGCCACAGGAAGAAGCCTCCAGATTATTTGTCCTTGAATAAACGTAATCTCAAATTCTCTGTGCAGCCCTTCGATTATTTTAAATATCTTGATTTGGACCTCTGGGAAAAATGTTGCCCACCCGATCCAGAGGAGCCACCCGGTAAAATATTCAAGTGTCCGTGCTTTTCCATTTTTTTGTGCTTCGTAAACGATGTAAACTTTTTTTTTTTCCTGAAACATTTTAGTTCAATAAAATTATATATAAAAAAAACTTTCATGGCTTTAAATTAAGGTTTTGCTGTAGTCGAGCAACAACTTCCTTTGGGGTTGTAGGTGAGGTTAAAGGTGGGACTGTGACACTATCGTTTTTAAAAAGTTGTGTTTAGGCTGTTCACACGAAAACACAAATGTGGCGGTTGATTTTCTCACTCTAGAAACTGTTTTTTAAAATAATAAAGTTTAGGGTCTTCTGGAACGTTGTTTCTGTGGACATACAAGGCAGGAACGATAAAAAAAAAAAAAAAACTTGCTGTATCTGTAAAACACCGTTCCCGTGTGGACGGGACACCACCAGCTAGCAAACGAGCTGAGATTTTCCAAAACGTCGCCGCCCAGTGAGAAACAACCGTTATCGAGCAGTAAAAGTACGAAGTTTCAGACCAAAGAAATGAATACGAAGACCTGCTGCAGAAACATGAAGGTGTCACAGCATTAGAACTTTATGAAAATAACAGTATGATGAGTCAAAAACATATTTATCTGTATAAATGAATAAGTGCTCCGTCAGGTTTTTACACTTGGACATCCATTGCGCTCAGAGCCTTTTCGGAAGTACTGTCTTTCTGCGGGCTGGACGTCGCCTCGTTGGACAGAGCGCGTTGTAAAGAGTCTTTGAGACACGTCTCTCCGTCCTCCGCTGCGTCCTCTGGCTCGCTGTCGTCTTCGACCTCCTCTGGACTGCACTCCGACCCGTCGCTGTCGCTGCTGCAGGAACTCGACGTCTCGTCTTCGGAGTCTGAATAGACCTCCGCTCCGTGGAAGATGTAACGATTAGGTGACTGGAACAAGTACTGACCCGCTGAGAAAAACAAAGGACATTTTTAATTGGGCTTTCACAGACGTCCTCTTTGTTAACTAGGCCCGTCACGATAACAAATTTTGCTGGGCTATTAAATTTTTGCGATAAACGATAATATCGTTTGAAATTTGACAATTAGTAATTATTGTCAAATTTAAAAAGAAACGGTTAATTTATTTTGAGTGTAGTACCTTTTTTGACCACCAGATGGCAATATAAGAGTTTGAACTGAAGGATGGATAGTGAGGGAGCGAGCAGCGTGTCTCTAAGAAAAATGGGAGGGAGGCCCCTTGACGTGACATGGGCTCTATGAGTTCTGTGACACGTCTCCTTTTTTTCAGTTCTCAAAATGGCGGACACTCTGTGTGGTTTTAGCTCTTTAGCATAGCATTTTTTCCACACAAAGTTTTTTTTTTTTTTTTTAAATCAGTAAACAAGTTCTCAGCTTCTTTTTGCAGAGAAAAAACAACTTTTTACACGAAGGCACAAGTTTCAACCGTGAATTTTGGAGCTTTGAGGTCAGCCTGTTAGCTTAGCTCGTAGCTTAGCTTCTCAGCTTAGCTGCTTTTAACGATCCAAAAACACGATTTTGGACGGTTAAAACAGATTTTAAAGATAAAAGAGAAAGGGAGGGGTCAGTGAAGAACCGGAGTTGAGACACGAAGAAACGATAAAGCCGATAAATGAAAATGAGGTTGATAATTTTCATTTATCATGCGATTAATTGATTGATTGTTTATCGCGACAGGCCTGGTATTAAACTTACCCTCAAGGCGTTTACTTATCGGACTTCTGTTGACTCGACTCATCCAGTACCGTTTACAATAATCAAGGCTGGTGTTTTGGCTCTTTACGTCAGCTGAATTGTCTTTTGAGAAGTCCCCTTTCGGTAGCTTTGGAGACGCGGTGGTGTCCTCAGTTGGACAATGTGGATTTGAACTAGGCTCCAAAGGCGTGACGTTCTCCTCAGCAGTCCCTGTGACATTCAGACCTCTGGTCTCCTCCGCAGGCTTGTTTATAGAGTCCGTACGAGGCTGCGGCGGCTCCTCCTGAGCCGCCGCGTCATTTGAAGAAAACAAGGCCCCACTTAGCGTTGGTTCCGGTAACCGAGGCGGCCTCTCCGTGATCTCAGAGAGTCTCGAAATGTTGAAGCAGAGTTGCTCAAAGTCTCCACCCAACCGATGGCAGAGCTCGTTGATGATGCCATCACAGTCCCCAAGAAGCTCCACGTCAAAGTTTAGATGAGGCAGCGGTTCCCTGTTGATCAGAACCTGAGGCACGTCATGAGGAATGGAATCTGAGGAAGAAAACCCGAGTCTCATTATGTCCTGGATACAAAACTGCAAGACCCGTTTTACTGGGTCCAGTTGTAAAAACTTCTCAGTCACATTTCAGATACTTGTATGAATATTCACACAGTAAAAGAGAAGTCCAGCATGAAGACATGACGCACTCTGATGAAACATTTTCACCACCGGTCGCTACTACCAACTGGATGGTCCAGTCCTCGGATCGGCCCCGTGGGAACAACGAGAAGACGAACAACTTTGACCATCTGGACGAAGTAAAAGTTGTAACAAGGTTTCTGTAAATGAACCTGCGGGAGGATCGTCAACGTTTGAAAGAGCGAGGCTCGGCCAACCGGACGCAACTGCCAGCTCCTCACCAAGGCCCCCCCTTGATGAAGAGCCCCAACTCCCGGGTACGTAACTCGGCCCTCCCACGAGGAGGAAGTAGAAGGGGTTTAATGCCTCCTCCCCCGTTGAGGCCCCGGTCTCGGCAGAGACAGAGCGGGCGGCACGGTGCTCAGTTGGTAGACCTGTTGCCTCTCAGCGAGAAGGTCGTTGGATTAAATCCCGGCTGGAGACCTTTCTGGGTGGAGTTTGCACGTTCTCTCTGTGCACGTGTGGGTTTTCTCCAGGTACTCCAGTTTCCTCCCACAGACCAAAAACATGCACGTTAAGACTGACTGGTAACTCTTAATTGTCTCTAGGTGAAAGAGTGAATGGTTGTGTCTCGTTAGTCTCCACGTGTCCATGTGATGGACTGGAGACATGTCCAGCGTGTCCCTGCCTCTCGCAGTGACTGCTGGACATGTGCACAACTGACCATCGTGACCCGCAAAGTAAGACGCGGTTAAAGACGATGGATGGATGGATGATCGTAGGATGATCCATCCATTTTCTAACCCTTCTTTTATTTGGAAGCTTTTGGGATGAAAACCCAACGTGGCTTCACAGAGGAATGTAAATCAATGACAAACAGGGTATGTACAGGATATGTACAGGATATGTACAGGATATGTACAGGGTATGTGCAAGGTTGCTTAATGCAGTACAGGGTATTTATGGGGACACATGCAAGGTATCTACAAGGGCACATACAGGGTGCCTAAGGGGTATTTATGGTGGTTTGTACAGGGTAATCCTGAGGATGCATGCAAGGCATCTACAGGGATACTTACAGGGTACCTATGGGGGTTCATATGGGGTACTTACAAGATACTTACAAAGTACAAATGGAACTTGGGCTGTTTTATGAAGTAATTGGTTACCCTACGCTGCACTTCACTACGATTCAGTGTCTAGGAACCCGTCTTGGATGGAACTTGATAATAAAAACATGCTGCGTTCATGTACATAATCTGAACAAAACGTACTTGGGATCAGGGCAACCGGTCGCACTTTGAGCGAGGAACCAATAACAATCAAGAGGTCCACCTCGTCCTTGTCCTGCTTCATGGCTCTGTGGAACATTTCTGGAAGATTCTCTCCAAAAAAGACAATGTCGGGTTTCATTATTGCCAGAGGAATATCCGGACAGTGCGGACAACGAGGAACAACCTGCAAGACAAGTTGAAGTCTGTCTGTAAGCACTGCAAGAAAATATTTTGTACAATAATTTAAATGACTTCAGTTGACAGAGGCCTCTCATCGTTTGTGCATTGACGGACGGTGGAACATTTTTGGAAAGACGGGTCTTGGCAGGCATCGATACCAGCAGCTACCCAGTATCACAAGAGAAAAGAGAATTAGGAAATGTAACAAGCTTTAAAACTTGTTTCAATTTGTTGTAAAAGAAAAAAAAGGCAGCAGAACATAAACACTAGAAGAACGCTGGTAGTTTTGGACACTACAGACGAGTCTTGATGGTTTGACAGATCAGGATTTTATAGCTAGGGATCTCTGGAAAAGTTATAAATATTTTACCTGCAGTAGATGGCTTTTACTTAGACATGTCTGTCTGTTCCCAAAGGTAAAGCTGCAACGATTTGGTTTTCAATGCCCACAGAATTCTGTCTGATTGAGCTTACAAACCTTTTTTAAATGTCTGTTTGTAAAAACAATCCAAGGATTTTTTTTTTTATTTGAACAGTTTTAAGACGCTAACGATCCACTTCGGACTCAGTTGTGGTCAAACGCGTCGTTAGCTCATCGCTCCCATCAGACTTAAACTCAATTTCCCCGAATTTACTTTGTCCAAAAAGCTTTCTACAACAGGTAAGATACTAACTGTTTCAAAACTTTTTCACAGAACCCCACTTTAAAATTAAAAGACCTAAAATATCCCTTTAAGGATCAAAACTATAAGTTTTCTAATCTCACGTGTTTGCACAAAAAAAACTAGCAAGATTTAATTACTATACCCAAAAAGGAAATTTATTTATTTATTTAAAACCTTAAATGTTAATTATGTGAAGAGTTTTGTGTTTTCCCTTTGAGGTAATTAACAGAACTACAGTGCAGCTATTTTTTTATATATAGTTTGATAGTCCTGCTGCTGTTTTAGTCAGTAGTGGTTGTAAATGCTGCATCTTGGGTCAGTTTGTAATAAATAGATACCTGGTGAAAGATTTCCTCCCTTATAGCTTCACAGTCCACCTTGTGTTTACAAACGAGACAGGATGCCGTCGCAAACGACCCTGAAAATCAGATTTAAAAGACATTCGTGACGTTGCACCACACTGGCGCATAATTACACCACGAATAAAGAAACAAACCTCACCGTGACACTGAATAATCCTCTGAACGCCGGCCACTTGCTCCAACGTGTCAATGTTCTGGGTGTAGTTGCGTAGCAGCTTCCCCTGTTTGTCCAGCATGGATATAAATCTGTGACAGGGCGAAGGCTGGAACTGACCCGGGTAGATCTCCTGTAAAAACAAACGTTCAGTCAGAGAAATTAAAATATACATTTATACAATAATGCACTTCAATCCTCCTCGTCTTTAAAAATTAAGCCTGAATATTTGCACAAAATGTTTTTGTCTTGAACGTTTTTGAATTTGCACAAATATTTTTTTTTAAAGTACAAAATCTTATTTGTTGGTGTAAATAAATTGATTTGGAAGTACTTTTAATTCTGAAACCAATGTGATGTTGCAAAAACAGACAAAAAAATGACCTTAGCAAATTTAAAAAAGGGTCTTGGGTCTCGTCGGAAGTACTCGATATCAAACATGGACTGAGGATCTGGAAGATCTGGAAAATCTACAGCAAGTCGGGCATAAATTCCATCTCTGGACCGAAAGTCTGGTATTCCACACGAAACTGAAACCTGCAAACAAAAAGTAAAATTAATGTTACGTGATATGAACACGTTGTAAAGACGACTTGATTAGTTTGCGTACCCCAGCACCAGTCAGAACAAGGATCCTTTTGCTTTCATGAAATAGCCGGACAACGTCTTCTAAAGAGTTAACATCCTTCCGCTTCTTCCTTTTTGGCGGTTCCGAGATGTTGATGATGATCTGCCACAACGTCATGTCGTCCAGATCTGGAGGGAGTATGGTCTCCGGAAGCAAATCCCTCAGAATGGCCCTCGGATCGGTCTCTCTGATGTGCTGCTGGATGAAACTGTAGGAACCTGGCCATAAAAACACAGCGCGATTTATTTTAGAAACACACACACGCACCATACCACAACAAATATTATTTCAAGATGATCAAGCACCAGTAAAACTACCTATGTGTGGCTGGGGAGTCCAGTCGCTGGAGCTCGCATGAGAAGACTTGTCATCTTCGTCAGTGATGTGCTCTGGTGTGACAGCGAGGCCGTTGGATGGCTGATCGTCACGTCCAAGAAAACCTGAACAAAAAAAGGACAAAATAAACAAACAACCCATGAACATATAATGTGGGACGTTAAGGACTAACTATTACAATAAACATCACATCAGTACTAAGGGTGAAACAAGATCTCATGAGATTAAAGAGTCTCAGCCGCTTCGTCTCCTGCAGCTACGTGCTGAGGGGAAGAGTCTCTGGCGTACATTTATTTCAAACAGAACAGACTTAATGCCGAGTTCACGCGGCGATTTCCTAACGTCGAAGCTGAGAAAATAAAATTTAAAACCTGTCAAACGAATTAACCGTTGAGAAAAATAAAACTTAATATGTCTGTAAAAATACTCTGGCCCAGGTGAGAATGAGTTCAATCTCTCCTGGGTTCAAGGTCACGCAGTTTTATGAACAACTTAGAAGGTCGCGTGTAGTCGAAGCATCGTTCTAACTTCGGAAAAGGTTTCACAAAGTTGAGTTTGTGGCATTTTTTTTTATTTACAAATCTTGTCTCATGGACCCACTGGCTTGTCTAATGTTGTCTCGTGAAAAAAATGTTGCAAAGTAGACTTTGGCTTTGCTTTTATTATTAGATTAGATTAGATTAATGCCCCTTATTAACATGCTTTGACAGGACACGGGATATCAAATAAGGAACGACTTCACAATATACCTAATGAATTACTGTGGTAAATGCAACGTTTACTCTTTAAAATTATGGCTTTAAAATAGTTTTACTATCTTATCGCTATTATCTTGGTTCTTTTTTTAATAGCTATTTATTTATTTTGCCTATTTTACAATAAATTTAGAGAATGCATGGCAACACAGGTAAAAGCTATATGGAACGAGATTCAAATTAACGGGGTACCAAATTTGGCGCTACACCGGCTAACTGACGCTCGGTTGTCAAAATATTTTGTTAACATTATCATCTCAAACACCTACTCAAAGAGTCCATGACAGTTTCCGGTCGTTTTAGAGTCAATTAAACCGGTTTAAATATACTTGGAACCGTAAATGTAACATTAGCTCAACAGCAACGTTTTATATAGTTTCGCTTTCGCGTTAACTTGAGCCGGTTCCTTCGCCGGTGAGTTGGTAACCTAAACACCGCCTAACTGGAAATGAAATAAAAACGAGCGGCCAAGTTTTTTCCCTACCGGCGCTTTCGTGGGTTAAAGCGAAGACGACGCTCTCGTTTTTTTTCCCAAGCGGTCGGAGCAGGTCGGAGACCGGCAGCCCCAGTCCATCAAGTCCATTGTTGTCTCCGCCTCGAGCTGCCGCCAGGGCCTGGTGTACCGCCATCACCGGCTTCGCTTCCTTCTTCTCCGCAGGCTGCGCGCAATTTACCACCGCCTCCACGTTCTCTGAGCCCATGGAGACGCACGAGGGCGACTCTTGTTCCGTAGGATGTAACCCGCAGTTGGTCACCGGGCCGGTTTTTGGTCTCTTCGCGAGAGGCTCGTCCGTTTCTGGCGCGCCTAAAAAGACCGCTCCGTGACTATTCTCTTCGTCCGCCATCTTCAACCAGCGAGCCGCCGCGCAGATCCTTCCTCCCGGACAGCTGGCTCATTTACATAGGGCACGTGACCCGATCTCCACCAGTAGGCACGAGCTCACATCTGAAACCATAACATATTATTGCTGCGTTCAAACGCAGTCGGAAAAATGGCTTACATTCATGAACATGAAAATTTTAACGATAAACCAGTTACAATTTTTTTTTTTGTAATTAGTTTAGCCTTGCGTTTAACCATTTCCGCGAAAAAATAATCTAATCACGGCGTCTGTTGTAAACGTATTTGTTTTCAGCCCAACTTTTCTTTAGATGCCATGGTTTTATGAATGAATACATTTTGCGCTTGAGCAGACTTTTCCTTAAAACGCCTAAACGCAGCATGCGTCACACATTGAAAAACACGGAACGTTTTCCTAACTGGAAAAAGCGATCCTCCTTGAGAAAACTCTCATTTTGACAGTCTTTACGATTATAAATGATGTTTGGGGGGAACAGTAAGCTCATTAAAGGGTTTGTCCGGTCAACTGGAACTAAACAGCTGTGACCTGCGGATCTGTCGCTCCTCTAAAATAACCACCAACGTTGATTTAAGGTTAGATGGAGGCAGTTTTGAGCTTGAAACCGGAGGATCTGGAGGATTTCTACGGATTGTTGGGATGTGACGAACTGTCGTCGGTAAGTTGTGGTCAGCAGACTCATCGTGGCTCTGACTATTTGCTGGGTGGCACCAGATAACGAGAAACTAACTTCTAACGCAGTGGCTGTGCATCAAAGATCGAAAGCAGGTTTTGTTTTGGTAACCATGGTAACCACACACCTGTGTCTCTCACTCCCTGACAGCAGAGTCAACCTCAGACAGTCACTGTGCTGAAACTATAAAAGTCATATTTACATTTTCTGCAACAAGAGTTTAAGCTAAAAAAGGAAGAGCAAGGTAAATGAAGCTAAACGCAAGCTACAAGTAGCTAAAAGCTAAATGTATATGATCAGCTAGCTATTTACTAAAAGTTAAAAAAAAGCTAAAGATAACAAAAGGCTAGTTAAATATAGCAAAAGGTTGGGAAAAGAAAGCAACTAGCTAAAGCCACAAAAATAGCTAAATATTAGAATTAGAAAAAAAATACTGGCTAAAAGTAGCTGAGGTAAAATCTAAAGTTGCTAAAAATCAACAAAAGCTAAAAGTTTCAAAAAGCTAGTGAGAAGTCAAAAGTAGCAAAAGGCTAGCTAAAAGTAGCAAAAGTTTAGCTCACAAAAAGTAGCATAACGCTAGCTAAAACCTTCCAACGAGTTAAACCAAAATTAATAAACGGCTAGTTTAAGAAAGGCAAGCTAGAGATAGTTAAATGTCTCGCAAAGCTAACTAGACGTTAAGTACGAAAAGGCTAGCCCAATATTGCAAACAGCTTGCTAAAGGCAACAGAAGAGTAGCTGAAGTAGCAAATCACTAGCTAGAATCTAAAAGTAGAAATAAGCTAGTTATTTTTCTAAAACTAGCAAAATGCTAACTAAAATCATCAAAAAGTTAAATATAAATAAAAGGCTGGTAAAAAAAAAAAAAGGGCTAAAAGCAAAGGAAGTAAAACAATAGCTAAAAGTATCAAAAAGCTATATAAAAGTTAAAAGTACAAAAACCTTTGCTAAAAGCAAAAGGCAAGCTAAATACAAGAAGTAGCAATACGACAACATGCTAGCTATAAATAACTAAATGGTAGCTAACAACAGCAACGTGCTAGCCAAAGATTTAAGTAGCTAAAGTAGCACCCTTTTCCCAAGTGAGCCGAACTATTTTGATATTTTTTATATGAATGGGTACAAAATGAAAAGCAGTTAGATTGAAAAAAGAAATCACATTTAGAAAAATATCCAATCTGTTATTTGTGTTTGTTTGTTTTTCCTGAAGACTGAGCAGATTCTCAGTGAGTACAAGGTCCGGGCGTTAGCGTGCCACCCAGACAAACATCTGGACGACCCCAGAGCCGGTAGGTGAAACATCTGGACCGTCTGCTCCTTTTGGCCTGAAGGAGGAAGCGTTTTGTTTTTCTGATGTCGAGCTCAACACAGAACACGTTAATGAAGATGGTTTTTAATTCCTCCTAATAGTTTTCAAGCGTTGCGCCTCGTAATAAAACCGCGGCGTTCTCTGCGTCTCTTTGTGCAGTGGCAGAGTTCCAGAAGCTGCAGGAAGCCAAAGAGGTTTTATGTGACGAAGGCAAGAGAAAAAACTACGACTCCTGGAGAAGAAGCGGCGTCGCTATTCCGTTTCACGACTGGCGGGCCCTGAACGATTCTGTAAAAACCGTAAGGAACGCCTTTACTCTCGGCTTTTCCAAGCTCCGTCCGGTCGTTGTACCGCAGCTGCTCCTCTGTCCGCAGTCGATGCACTGGGCTGCGAGAACCAAGAAGGAACCGATGCTGGAGGACTCCAAACCTGAGGCTCCGGCCGCTTCACAAGCAGAGGAGCGCCACCGCGACAAGGAGGCGTCGATCTCCGCGTACGAAGCTGAGCCGCCTTCAAGTGGGTCTGATATAGAAATTATTATTTTAATGCTTTTATGCCAATCTAGACCTA